CCCCCCCCCCCCCCCCCCCCCGGGGAAAACACCTTGTCTATTTACCCTATCCATGCCCCTCATGATTTTATAAGCCTGTATAAGTTTACCCCTCAACCGCCAACGCTCCAGGGAAAACAGCTCCAGTCTATTCCGCCTCTCCCTATAGTTCAAACCCTCCAACCCTGGCAACATCCTTGTTAATTTTTTCATTTGAAGCAACAACTAAATGGACAATTACGTTATTGTCCTATTTAGCAAAAATTAAAAAAAAGTAAATCTGTCTTTCTCAGATTTCTTTTTTGTAATCATATAACATACAGACCACTCTCCTGGTTCTCAGATACTCTCACATATTTCTTAAATGGCCTCCCTGTTACTCTCTACTTCTTTATTTTTCTATCTTGATTGCAGATTTTTGATATTTCCTGAGAGCTTAAAGCAAAGAAAAGGCTTTGTCAGCTAAATCAAGGAGTGTATCTCCAATGTGAACAGGACAGGAATGTTTTTAACATAAATTAAATCCCTGATATTGCATATATCACTGAAATGCATTATGGAATTGCACTGGCATATAACAATGCAGCAATTACTTGTTCACCACAGATCGTAGTGTCAGAAATCTTCAAATGAACATCATTAAAATTTTATGATATACATCTGAAAAAAGTAAAAAATTAAGTGAGTCAACCAGCATAGCCCATCTCATAAGTTTGTATGCTTTATCCTACTTAGTGATTTCTTTACTCATAGTAAACCATTAAGCCCCAATGTGTATATTGTAGACTCTGAGTCAAAACCTGCAAAAGAGGCAGCAACAATTAATAATAAGGGTATATGTTCAATTAAATTAAATCCATAAAATGATTGTATACTATTTTTGGACATGTTGTTTGTTCAATGACACTTTATTTGAATGCTGGAAGCTGATTTGTTCAGGTTGTCCCTATTTATTAAGTGAGGAAAATTGAGTCTCCTGATGATAATGTAATAATGATTTGATAGTAGTGTGATATACATATGCATTCAGATTTATCTGATAGGAACATATTACATAACAAAATGATATTTGGTATTTTGAAATAGATTGGAGAATCAGATGTAGATATTTCTGGTAATGGATTTTGGATTCCAAGACAAAGATTTAACTGACATGTTTAAAAGTCAAAAGCATCATTTAATGATTGAACCATAAGGTGAAATCACTGCCCCGAAATAAAATTATTATTATTTTACCTACATTCTACTCTGATGTTAGTGGAAATAATAGGTCTTTTTTCTTATTTATGCTTTTTTCAATAAACTTGTGACAATGTTATGATTAATGTCAACATGCAAGATATTTGTGTGGTTCATATCGTAATGTCTTTTCCTTAATTCAGATGTAATCACTGCAGCTTCAGTTCTGTCATTGATTACCAACAGGTAATGCAGTCAGTATACATTATATAACAATGAATGCACATGTACATATTATATTTCCAGATAGAAGTTAAAAAGCAAAGCCAGTTGACTTGCACTCAAGCTGATCCTTCAGTCATCAAAGTCTGCTCTCCATTTCCCCCAACAGTAAACATGCTATTGCTTAAGGCTACTCAGTCTCTTAATGTGATGTCCTTAATTGTCAAACCTAGGTGGCCCTTTACTTTTGGACATATTTGCATAATTATTTTCTTGCCATACTTAAAACTCACTAGGATGGGAAAAGATTATATTTCATAAATATGGAATTGCTAAAATCAGATGCATTTTTCTGTCATGAACATTTCAATATTTCTGTTCATAGTTTGACTATTTGCTTTGTTTTGCGAAATGTCCCTTGTTCCTTTTTGCTGTTATGTAGTTGAAAAATATTGTGTGAGAATGATTCAAAACTCAATTAAATGTAAACTGATCATTTTAAACTAATAAAATTTAATGTGATTAATAAAAAGATCTTGAATTTGTACGTCAAGTTCCATTACATTACATGCACACCTACATATTAGATTGATTCAATGTAACAGCAAAACCAATAAATAATAATAGCAACAACAACAAATGAAACTGGTAGTTATTCACTATTACAGAATTTATCATGTAAAGATTTTACATTCCTATTGATGTGTATATATGAGATTTCAAATGCTGTGAAAACCATGTTAACTCATGACTTTAGAGAAAATAACAAATCGTAAATCATAATTTATAAATATTGTCAGGAACAAAGCAAGATGCAGTTGGGTTTACTATTGAGTAATTTGTTTGCATTGTGTCTTAAGTTGTGCAATAGGAAGAGGAAAATCCATTAATGAACAAAGGTATGCCCCTAAGAAAATATTTTTCTTCAAATAGAGAAGATATTCCAGCACTTAGTAAGCCGATCTTCTAAGCAAATGTAAGCATGGAGAAAAATAATTTGTATTTGAAAATAACACCCATTTATGCAAACATGTACAAGCTTAACGTGATATCAAAAACAAATTGCAAGAATATTTGCCTTTTTAATATCAATTCTTGAAAAATATACAAATTGTAATCCACTAGCAAATCTCACTTATTAGTCATGTTACTTTTATGCACATTAATGTGAATTAGAGGTTATATTTCTGTTATTTTTCATATTTTACATAACAGCAATATATTCAGTTATAAAATTATCTATTTTGTTATGCATGAGTAGTTAGCCACTTAAAAAGATGTTCATGTTTATAATGACAAAAAATGGTGATAAAACAAAATAAAGTAGTATTACATCTTAATAAGTTGATTAAGTACTGAATATTTGCTTTATTTTACATTAAAGCGGTTGATTGCTTAACGTTAGTGAGATTGATAAAGATTGTGGCAAAGTCAGTTTGGCTAATGAAAACAAACCTTGGTGCTGCTATATGGGGTGGAATACGATGGGAAGTAGAGGAGAGCTGCACTGTACGTTTGGAATCAAATGAAAAATAACTGACTTGTACACTATCACAAACAAAATTTCTGAAAATACTGCAAAAATTGACGGATTTGCCATTGTAGATCGTATTTAATATAGACAATAAAACAAAAAAAATGTTCTGGAGAAACTCAGCAGATCAGGCAGCATCTGTGTAGAGAGAAACAGAGTTAACAGGTCCAGTTAATGACCTTTCATTGAAAAGGGTGCAATAATCTATATATCATCCACTTACGATGGATGCATGGACGAGCGTGGGGTTTGAATTTTTTAGTGTCTCACTCTTCAAAATTGTACAAAACTACTGTTAATTTTCACTACTGTATTGGATTTTAGTTAGCTTTATCGTTTTAATGTATCAGGATTAAAAAGAAACTGATGGGGAGTCTCACGTATTTGGATCGTTGTAGCGACGTTACACAAATCAGAGGTCACGTTCGGCCAGATCTGTAATATTGAAAATTAAACCTGAGTTTGCCCGAGCTCGGATGGTATGTGTATGCTTCCTAAAAACGGCCCAGTGGCGATTAGATTATTTAAAGAATGCATTTTATTTTACAAAGGCAGCAAGCAAGTGAATACAAACACTCTCAATTACCATCACTTTGTTCGAGGAGGGCTGTGCATCAATGTTCAGAAGAAAGTTAGGCAGCATTTTTTAAAAACAAAATCATCTTTTATATAAGTCAATTGTGACAGAAACGTTGGACGAGCAAATTTTCACATGTAGAATTTTGAACTCTCCATTTGCATGTCAGGTTGCATTATTCTACCTAGTCTTTAATCCTGCCGAACAGACGGACAGTTTCTGAAAATGGAACATGATGGTCAGGGTAAAAGTTATATGATACTTTGAAAATATTTGACAAAATACGATCTACTGAGAAGACAATTCAGCGAAAAATTCTAAGAAATCGCAGACCTTGTCTTTAGCAATATGAAGGAACACTTGCAGTTACATTAATCGCGTATGTTAATTAAATTTTAAAATGTAAAAGAAATCAGAATGTTAGTAGTTACATTCATTGGAAAAAATAAGTATCGTTTTGAAGACTTTTTTAATATTATTTCGGTGAAATTGTGAAATATCATGAAATAAAAATATTATGCGACATAATGGGTCTGTCATTTTCCAATAGCAATAGGAAGGCGCTTCCATCACTTCAGCTTTCTGCGACATCTTGGAGCAATCAAGCAAATTAAGGCCGGTCGACCTACCAGCTTCTCGGGTTAGTAGTGGGAGGTTGTCAAAATACGGGGCAGCCATTAGTAGAAACGTGATATCCATTCATCAGCAAGTCTAATCACTGGTCAGACTCCGCCGAACCCTCAAGCTTTCCATTCTCAGATATGCAACCCGGGCACGAAGGAGTTTACAAATATTGTCAAATTGATTCTTGTACCGTCATTGAGTCTGTCATTCGCTGCTTGGCCACTGAAGCTTTTCGTTCTCTTGGATGGTTGTTCGTTGGCGACAATATTGTTTTCCGCTCAAATACGAGGATTAACTTTGAATCATAATTAAATAGTAACTGTTAGACGCCGATGCAATTTTCCACCTTTTAAAATACCTATCACGTTTTTCCAAAATAGTGGTCGCTAATCAATAGTGTTGAATCATGGGCAATAATTTAAAATATATTTTGATTTATTTTTGTTTCCAGATTTCATTTGTTTTCAGTGCCTAATAATTTAGACATCCGATTTCTTTCTATTATGTCAGCCTTATTATAGTTATATTATTTGAATTTTTCGCTTTTCTTATTGCAGTGGAAAAGAGTGAAACAAATCGCCCCGCGTATGGACTGAATTAAGGTGAATATGCCTTAATGTTGTTTTAAGATCTAAACTCACGATAAGCAAACCTAATTGGTGTAAGTGACAGAGCTAATGCGGAAATAACCGTATCGTTCTTCTCTCTCGCTCCTTCCTTTTCTCCCTCTCTTCCGGAAAAAGAAAGAGGTTGATTTCCATTATGTTACAATGAGTCTCGCCATTAATAAAAACTAGCACTTTAGATAAGGAAATTTATTGAATAACGTATGTGCAATGTTGGAATACATAAACGCAAAGTATCCTCAAATATTCTCCAACTGCACTTGTCATGAAAGGCTGCGTAATTTGATTCAGCCGTCGGGTTTCCTGCAGTATTATCAATGGAATTAATCTGCATTGTTCATACAAAGGGGGCAATCCACTTCGACAGAATCTTAATTCACCACAGGCCCGAAAAGATTCTCCCATGTAACAAAATTGCGCACAAGTTGTAGCTTATGTTGACTAAGGAAGTGTGGTATTAATGAAACGCATACTTCTTGAGATTAATAGTAAGTTATCTTATATCACGTCAAATTAAGACGTACAACCGCTTATTACTGGTAAATATAGTGGAGAGTTTCTGTAAAGCCTAAAGAAAAACAGTGCCTTTAAAAACAAACAAAAATGAATAATTTGGGATGAAAAGAGTTTCCGAATTTAGTTAAGATAAATGAACAGGATGTGGCGGATCAGTTGAGAACGAGGGAAGCGGAGCGGAAACTTAAATCAGGTACATTTTACACTCTAGCCAGAAGTTAAATAAATATGGATAATTAAGCTGTAACCACAGGATAAAATTTATTTGTTGCGCACTCAGAACGCAACATAAATATTATTTTATCGGTAACGGTTTACTGTTTTACACTGTTAAAATGCTGGCTCGAATTATTAGGAACAGCTTTAACCTCGTTGTATTAAAACTTTGAAGTTTCTGTTACTACAGTTCCCCAAGGTGAGGGTGTGGATTAAATTGACAACTCGCTAACAGCTGTTTAAGGCCTTGTTTTCTAATAAACTCTTCTAAGCAGCTCAGTCTGTTAATTGAGGTGCGGGAAATGGAACGTTTTCAAACTCCCACTAAATAGTGGAGAATATAGCGAATTTTACGTAGCAAAAAACAGTCCCGAGTGAAAGATGTACTGAAAGTATAAGCAAGATTTAGACTTGGCTTTGAAATTAAAGCCCGTCAGGTTGGGGATCCACGCTTTGTTTTGTTAATTCGATCGGTACATTCTGACTTGTTTTGATCCAAAGTGTTGCTGACGCACAAGTTGTTGGAAGAGTCGTATAATGAAGCAATGGGCCAATTCAATGTTCTGGGATTTGCTGAAGTTGTGACTGGTTACTTCACATTTGTAACATTGCTCGCGGCAAAGAGAAGCATCTGTTTGATTATTCCGACCCCCGCCCCCGAAAAATAAACACGCAAAGGACACACCGTCATTACTGCGATCTCTTCTTCATCTTTGTTAATACCTCACCTTTGTTATTTAAACTACGAAATCAGGATTTGCAAATTCGAAAATAAGACACAACAAACACTTAAGATTGCATTGGATTACTTGAATCAGTTCTGCTTTCTTATCTCCTTTCGCACCAAGATCAATCACATGTTGCAAATTTCGGTTCTGAAATTAGCTTTCATTATTTGACGTTGTGGTGCAAAAATGACGTTGTGATTAAGTAGAGTTTTCAAAATCATAGTTAGTTCTGTCCGACTGATTAATGCAGGTATTCGTAAACAAAATAATGCCTCTATGTAAAAGCATCCTCTCAACAGTCCTCCAACAAGTGATTAGCATGTGAGTTCGCATCCTGTTAAGATTGTGCGTTATCAAAATCCCATCTATTTGCTTAAAGTTGGATGATGATAAAAGTATATTTCATTATAAGGTCATGAGGCGACGACCGCATTATTAATACAGTAGTTTCTGTTCAATCTCAATCAGATGGAAACCAAATTATACTTTCACCCTCTCCACTGTTCCCCCAACCCCCACAAGGCTCCCCTCCCACGCAACCGCAACTCTGGGCAGAAAAGCATTGTGGGAGCTGTAGTTCAATAACCATGGTCAAAGTTTCGCGAAGTATTAGAAATGTGACTACAGGTACCAGAGCCCAACGCGATTAAGGCCACGCGTTATTTCCAGATCACTGGCGCCACCCTTGTGTTCTTCTATATCGTTGCTGCAAATGAGAAAAAAAGGCTCTCCTGTGCGGCTTACTGCGATGTCAATCATTGAAGAGATTTCACGAGGTTCTTGTCAAGGCAGCTGAAACAAATAAATATATAGGCAGACAACAACAGAACAAAAAGCGAGAAAAGTTCACTAGGATCATTAAAGCGCGGCTTGTCCTTCCTTTCGTCGATTCTATTGTCAAACTGGAATCATATAACGTAGTGCAGTGTTACAAGGTAGGTCTGGAGCTGGAAGCTGTTCGCTCAGCGAGGGAGACACCTCAAAGGGGATCGGGTTACTTTGAGTGACAGCGTCTCCATGGTAAATAATTTGACTAACTATTGTCTTATCCTCACCATCCGTAGGTCAGATAACCAACCAATCAAATTCTACATAATGACTATTCATGCCAACTTAGAATAATATTATTAAAAACGAAGGGAAAGCACTCTGGACGTCTTCAAGTGCAGTATGTTGGGTCTCCTGTGAGAGAAAGATTATTTTTTATGCGTCTACAAGTACAAAGCACTAGTAGAGACTGTAACCTTCAAGCGAAGGAGCGGCACAGAACACTTTTTTTCCATTAGGACCTGGATGTGTTTTTAGACTGTCTCAAGGCGGGGGAGATATGTCGATGCTTCCAACTTTTGGGTTTACTCAAGAGCAAGTGGCGTGTGTGTGCGAAGTCCTCCAGCAAGGAGGTAACATCGAGCGGCTCGGCCGCTTCCTGTGGTCACTACCTGCCTGTGAACATCTGCATAAAAACGAGAGCGTCCTCAAAGCCAAGGCCGTGGTATCTTTCCACCGAGGCAACTTCCGCGAACTTTACAAGATTCTGGAGAGCCACCAGTTCTCTCCGCACAACCACCCGAAGCTGCAGCAGTTGTGGCTAAAGGCTCACTACATCGAAGCCGAAAAGCTGCGGGGGCGGCCGCTAGGGGCCGTGGGCAAGTACCGCGTCCGGCGCAAGTTCCCGCTGCCGCGCTCTATTTGGGACGGCGAGGAAACCAGCTACTGCTTCAAGGAGAAGTCGCGCAGCGTCCTGCGGGAATGGTATGCTCACAACCCATACCCTTCGCCCCGGGAGAAGAGGGAGTTGGCCGAAGCCACCGGCCTCACCACCACCCAGGTCAGCAACTGGTTCAAGAACAGGCGTCAGAGGGACCGAGCCGCCGAAGCCAAAGAAAGGTACGAGTAAGTAAAACAAATACATCATTCTCATATTATTAAATAGAGCTGTTTAACTCACCTCACCGGGTACAAACCGCGGCATCTTTCGTTTGCAGCAATCGTATCGATGTGTGAATCTCCACTATCATCGATTCGGGGCCCGTTCACCGGCTGGAAGTGCGTGTGTTTCAAATTGTGACTTTTTTTGGGAGAAGTACGCTCGAACTGACAATAACCTCAGACATCGAAATGCAGCGCAAGCTCCGCCTGAGTGGCGAGAAGCGAAAGCTGCGGCTGCGGGAAAAAAAAACTTTTAATTTAACTTCTCATTTGGCTTCGAAATGCCTCGAACCGTTAAGTAGAGGATGAAAAGATTCCGAACATAACCTGTCCGTGGATACATTCGCTGCTCGGTGATTGATTTTAAAGTGTGTTTTCTGCAGCCGGTCGCTGCGGAGCGCCGTTGATTTTGTTTATGGAAAAGTGAAATTTTGCAAAAGTGTCTGGTTTATTCTTTGGCGCCAGTTCCTTGAGGATACTTTAAAAATAAAGCAACGGTTTAGTAATCGGAATGGTGTTAACTATAACTTGTTCAGTGCCTTCAGAACTTACTCCGTCAGTCAGCCCCCAGCTGCAGTGTTAAGTCAGAAAAGTTGAGAAGACTGACTTGAAATCGAAGTTTTTATAAGCCTTTTTTTGGCATTGAAGATATTCTAACCTGATTTTTCGAATGGCCCCCACGTTTAAATAGAGTTGCTCCTTGGTTCTTATTCGACTCATTCTATCTCATGTTTTTGATTTCTTTTCTCTCTTTGCCTCTGCAGAGAAAACAGCGAGAACTCGAATTCCAACGTTACGGCCGGCGGCCACAACCCAATGAATCATTCGATGAATGGGAACAAAAATATGTTAGCGAGCTCAGACGAGGAAAAGACTCCGTCTCAAACCCCCGATCACACTTCGAGCAGCCCAGCGCTACTCTTAGGATCCCTGGGCCAGAGCTCCAACACCAGCCTGCAGCCTCTACACACTCTGGCCGCGCCTCCGGGTCCTAGCGCCGTTGCGGTACCTAACTCAGATGTTATACACCATCATGCATTACAGGACTCCATGCTCAACCCCATGTCATCCAATTTAGTTGACCTTGGCTCGTAAAAAAAGAACAATTTCCTTTTACCTGCGAATAATTAAAGACACTCTCAAGATTATCCTTTATATATTTTACTTGACAATTAAGCGATGTACATAAAAAAAGCGTTAGTGGATATTTTGTCAACCATGGGAAGGAAAGAAGGATATAGCTATTCGAGTTATAAGGTACTGTATTAGATCACATAAGAGATTGATGTAGCAAAGTCTTAAGGTTTTATATAACGGAGGATGTCTTTGTTTAGACAGAAAAGTTAATATTTTACTGGTCACAAAATCACAATCTCGACGTATTGCTCTCAATTAAAATTACACTACAGCACATACAGTCACATGCACGCAAATACATAAATATATACAGGTTACAAGAGTGAGTAGATTTGTAATTGCGTGCATAATGAGCATTTTAAGTTTTGATAAAATATGCTAAAAAAATTAAAAACACGCTATAGGAAGATCATTTACATGTAGATGAAAACTGTACAGAAAGCTGGCTTTCCTGTAGTAGAATGCGTGGAACGTGTAATCGCAGCTATATTGAACTGAAAACAATCCGTAAACGTATAATGTCATTTCATCAAGCATTAAAAATTATCTCCGTCTACAAGAAGGAATGCTCTCACGCTGCATAAAAATTGTTTTATTACTCTTTATATTACGTGACTACAATCTTTGGAGGCGAAATCCTGCTTATTTTATAATAAAATCAGAGCACAGCTATTATCTGATACGTTTGCTTTCTTCCCTCCCGTCCCTTCAAATATTTAGCAACAATTTAATTTGATATTTTTTAACATTGACTTCGGCACGCTTTTGTATTACACGAATATTCATTAACCGCTAGAATGTGCTCGTTACACAAAGGATGGCGGAGCTTCCATCTATCGCGTTTACCATAGGTGCATGTTTAATATGACGCCGTTGAGATATATGTTAAATTTGCCACTGGGTTTATGTACAGGTTCCAGGTAATTACTGTTGGTCTAACCATGAAGCCAGTGTAATACAGATAAAGAAAAGCGGCTGGAGAAAACCGTGCACAATGGGCCTTTAAAAATCTTGATGGCTCCTTTATTTTAAAAAAATCACTGTCCAAAATGAGAAAACGATCCACACAAATCCGTTTGCTAGTTATGCCAATGAAATTTAAAACATTTTGAGGCTCCCTTCCTTTCTCAATCTCATGCAGCTACAGATTTACGTCAGTACAAAAATACAGACGGCTATTTAACCCCAATGTAGCCCGCTTCGTAGTTTTTGTTTAACGTAACAGTATATCCCACACCGTTGTCCCCATTTTTAACTTTATAAAACGGAAAGAAAAATATACTTAAAGGTTAAGTGTGGATATGTTGGGTATGGGGCGTTATTCCAAAATTGTCAATGTCTGCTCAGCTAAATATATTGTGCACACATGTCACTCTGACTGCTGTAGAGTCAGACTGCTTTTAATGTAATTTGAATGCTCCAGAAACGTAATCCTTTTCGCCGTAACGTTATTCGCAACGCCTCTTACGATAACTGATGAACGTGATAATATAATATAACACGATCATCCAACATGATTATATGCCCATGGGCCAAAACAACTGCGATATCTGGCTTCTCTTATTTTCCTTATACTGAAATAAATTACATTGAGCAATGTACAATCTGTGATATAGAAGTCTCGGTCAATTGCGCTATGCGCATCTTGCAAGTGAAGTGCTCTTAATTTAAATTTAAAATATTATAGTCAATAGTCTTCACTGCAGTAAAATACAATGGCGAAGGAAGTTAATTATATGTTTATATCTGCACTGGGCAAATAAAGTCTATAACAAACGTGACTCCTGGGATAAAAAACGATAAAAGCATTAGTAACAGCAACCATTTGTTCTCTTAGACTCTTGCAATACATCATTTGAGGCTTGAGAGCTTTTTTTTTATTTTGGTATCTAGTGGCGATTGTAAATCTATCTGCCTATTTATTTATCTGTTTGTCGGTCTGTCTTTCAGAATACCGACTTGAAAAGCCTCTTTTGTCATAGTGTAATCTCAGGAAATCATTGCATTGATAATCTTTGCATTGTTTTAAAAAAATCTTGGGTGTCTGGGTTATAAAGCCACGTTATGATGCAATATTTACAAGGCATCCTCCATGGCCACGATTTTAATTTTTTTCAGGGTATCGTGATTGTCTTTAATGAAATGATGTATCATGTTAAGGTTCACATAGTTGCCAATGATGATAGTAACCCAATTGTTTCCACGGCGATTTTATCCGTTAATCGACTACTGCAATAAAATAGAACTGCGTTACAGAAGAAATAGTTGCAGTGACGTAGTCACAGATAAGGACGGAGGGGAGTTACAAGCAGGTTTGGAAAGGGTAATACAACTTGAAAATGAGCGCTCTATGTATCACATAACTGTAACCTAATATTCGGGATAGGCTTATAAAAGTTAACTCAAAATAGCAGACAAGAGTGTTGCCGTTTATTGGACTAACCGTCGCCGTGCATGGTAGCCTAAAGCGTATGTTACTTTACTGCTTCATTCATACTATAATTCAGTTGAAGGTGCTGCGGTTTTAATATTTATATACGCGTTAAGTGGCGACTGAGACTCCAGTGCCATATTGCAACGTTAGCAACGAAACAACAAACTCATAATCATGCAATTGTTCTGCAGTTAACTACACAGGTTACATGACCTTATCCTCTGCCTTCAGCGCTGTTTGTTACTCCCGGAACTGTGAAACGTTTCTTTTAATTATAAGTACGATTTATTTGAGAGAAAGGGAAGTAAAGAGTGGAGGAATTGTTGCCTTGACACAGAAGCGTGAGTCGTGTTTAATTGTGCGTGCTCATTCGGAAGTAATTAGATTTAGAGTTGCATTAGTGCACTGGCGTTCGCCATCTTTGACAGGCTTTGCGAAATATATCTAAGCATTTACTCACATGCTAATACCTGGACCAATTTGGAATAATACTTGAAAATCAGGACGTTTAGCGCCACAATGCCTTTTGCTGTGCAACAACTTATTGTAGTTTGTACTTTTATATGAGCAATTCCGAGTTGTTTCTTTTCTAAAAAGTAAATATGCATAAATGGGTGAATATTACATATATTTCTCTTAACAGTCCCGTACGTTTAACTCTTTCATTAATCCTGCTATGGTATAAATACATATATAGAATAGAAGCAAAATTCAAGATAATGAGGTTGTATTTTGTTCAGAGGTTTGTCTTTAAATGTCTTGGGGCACCTTTCTTTGTTACAGTTGCTTATTTGTCCAAAGTTTATAAGTGTATTTAAAATCACTTATACCTGATCTGAATTTTATTTATTGTTACGTTTGCCGTGCAATAATTTGATAGAATGCAAGAGGCCAAGAGAGTTAATGCCTTTTCAATGAACCAACATTTCGATTCAGACTGTCAGAAAAGACGTCTTGCCACAGAAGTGAAACTGCTAATCAAAGTCACCAGTTAGGTGTAGTGAGCAATTAGACGAAATGGTTGCGCACGACAAGTAATAATTGTTTTTCATATTTTGGATAAACAGAATTTATTATTTCTTCATGCGTTGATTAACAATGATAATCTTCTGTAATTTCAAATTAAGTATTGTCGATCTACAGTCGAAACAAACGAGGGTGTTCTATGTGGTCTAAAAAAGTGCGGTTATTTACTATTATTTACTATTTACTATTTAAATTAGTAAATTATTTACTAATCCAAAAAGGTGCCAATCAAACATGAGAAAGCGACCTTAATTTTGTTGCATGGGTCAAATTAAAGGAACTGGAGGGGTAAGCAGGCATTATTTAATAACAAATTGGTTTCAAATTGTTTTGCCTTTTATTTCTTACCCACACGGACAAATAGAGAAGTGCATGCATTGACAGGCTGGCAACTGACCCACAAGTTCAAATAACAGCAATGTGTTGTGCTGGGGGTGGGGTGGCGGTGGGATGGGGGTCAGTGATTTAGTAAAACAAAATCACGATTCGCAACACCCTGCGTAACTTGGGGCTGCACATAAGATTATGTAAAATCGAAGGGAGAATCGCATTAAGAAGAAAGACTTGCTCTGCTGGAACCGGACGTCTAGCTGTTTGTTAGCCGTTTACAGCATAGGGAGGAAGCAGATCGTTTATTTGGAGATACAAAATTTCTGTCCAAATTGACTCTCAGTCACTTCAGAAAGTGAACATTGACTGCCAGAGCCCTCTATAGGCTTGCACTGTCACTTGTTCGCACAGCTCTTTGGCGATTCGCCTTTTACTTGAATTTTACTTAATTTATGGGATTTTCTCAATTTCCACTGTGAAGTTGATTCGCAGCCCAGGGTGCGTGACCGCGCAGCATGAAACATTCGCTTCTTTAAACATGCAGTACTCATTTTATCTATGTTGGAAAGCTCAATCAACCAAAAATCTCTTTAGACTGTATCGCATGTATCCCCTTGAAAATAGCCCACTGTTTGGTTATTCTTTATAAACGAAAAATCAGTTTGCGAAGGACCACATAAAGTCATGTCGCTACAACAGTTAAAAAAAGAGAAATCTCCTTATTGCGCTGCTTGGTTTCCCCAAGGAGAAGCAGTACATTTACAGGTGGACCATTAGGTTACCCTAATAGTATTCCCTTGCCTTTCCTAAATTGCACCAGGGGATGTCGCTCCACTTGGACTAATTTGCGCAAGCCCATCCGAGTGATTTTAATCATCTTTTAATTTTGGTTTGTTTTAATTGTAAGTGATTTACAGAACGACTGGATCAGCAGTAGAAAAAAAACAGCCCCCAGATATGACACAGTTCAATCGGTACAATTCAAGTGTTCACAGATAAACTTGGTTTCTTCCATTGTTCCCGTGTAGGATTTATTTAACCAAGCATAGGTTAAGATCACGCATGTGATGTTTTAAATAATTAATATAACCTCACAAATCAAATGTTATAACACGTAGTCGGATTTATGTGGTTGATGAACATGTTGACGCTTGAATTTGGCCAGCTTTATTAGTAAGCTTGAGACCTGTTTGGATTTTGTATTCTCATGCAACACAATACAAAGTAAACGTCTTTGTCATATTAAAGAAATGTCGTTTGTTCAGTTGCATTTATAACTCTATTTTAGACTAAACTACTAAGCTGTCTTTCACGTTGTTCGGATGGTAAAACTGTTTTAACATAAATCCAAGTAAATGCTATGCTGTCGACGGTATGCCATTGAATTGATTATGTTTGTAAACTAAAATAACTAATGCAAAAGCACACATTTTCAATAAAGTTAAGATATTGGATCAAGACATAGAAGTCACTTTAGTGGAAATTAAACTGATTTTTTGCACTTGTTAATTTAAACTGGTAAAAACAATTCTAAAGTCTGACTTATCCATGTTAAGCTAAACTTGACGTTTTGTCGTTCAGATTTCAGTTTATAAAGTGTCTCGCCACGCCGTTTCCTCCGTCACTAGCAGTTTCCTCCGTAAATCTAGCAGTAAACTTACAGGCTCAGCGATGTTGGATGTTTTAAATAACACTGAATTTACATTCTCTTTTTGTAAAAAAAACAAAATATCTTACAATGCCGTTAACTTATCCCTTTACCATCAATCTGCTTAAAAATTACAAGTCAATTTCATAAATTGAAAATCATTGACTACAAACGAATTGCCGTGAGAGCATCGAAGGGCAGTGCAGCCACAAATATTTAAAATT